AGATTGCCCAGCGTATCCTGCAGGGGTCCCACATTACCCGGCGCCTTCTTCATCCTCCCAATATATTTGAAAAAGGACTTTTTGTTATCCTTAATCTTGGACGCTAATCCGAGCTCTATGTCTGCCTTGGCCTTCCTAACAGCTCGCCTACAGGCCCGAGCAGAGGAGGTATACTCCTCTTTGGAGATTTCACCCCCCTTCACCCCCCTTCACTTGGTGATTAGAAGTTTAGTACTTAAAGTCAGCTATCAAAATAAAAAGCCTGCATGTAATTTTCCGTAATATAAACTGTTCAGCTTTGTGCACTTGAATTAATAAAACTGCTTCCTTGTTATGTTTCATAAGAAAGATACATTTTTAAAATAATTCCTGATTCTTTTCCTGTTTTCATGAACAGTTTAGAAACCTAATGGAGGTTTAAAAACAATCTCAACCTCCTTAATTGCTAAAGAATACTTGTTATTTTTTTCTGTATATAGCTGGGAAAAACACACCTTAGTTTGACTTTACAATAACTTAGCTTATTTTTATAGTATGCAAAAAGTAGGAACAGTAATGTTATTCACAGGGTTTGTCTAATATAGAGGATAGAAGTAATTTTTAATGATGTGATTGAGTATTTCAGATTTCAAGTACCAATTATTGGAATGCCTACACAGTTGATAAAATTAGAAATATAGAAAGTATAATTTAGCTAAGCTAAATTAACCAGTGACACTAGCTGCATATAGTAGTATCCGAAGTCAAAGCCTTGGAGTGTTGGCTTGCCATATGGGTGCAATTAAGCATACAAATTGTGTGTGCCATTCATCATCTGTGAAGAATAAAGCAATACTGTCAAATGTCAGACTGCCACCATAGAAGGGGAAGAATACCCTGCAAAATCAAAGAAAGGTCATTCAGTCCTAAGGAAAACTCAGAGCTCAGAAAATGTTTATGACTCCATTCTTGCAGATGTGCATACCTTTGCAGGAATTTCATAGTACTGATGTGATTGTCCTTTCTAAATTAGTGACAATTTTATGTTGCTCAAGTTGGCTAATCATGTGCTTTGGTTTGCCTAATGCAGTTTTATAAATCCTCCAAAATATACCATTATTTATTAAAAATACTTCCCAAAGTATCAGAAAGGGAAAAGTTCACCAAATATATCTGGGCTGGGTCTAAACCATTTTTCTAACCTTTATGTGGAATATCAGTAACAACATCCAAAGTTTCCCAGTCAAAATTAGAGGATTGTGGTATTAGCTACTGTACAAGTAACAAATAAGGGATTGGAAATTAGAAATCCCTTCCTTTAAAAGCAACAACAAAAAGAAACAAAAACCCCAAACCACCCCCCACCAAAAAGAAACAAACAAAAAACAAAATTCCTCATCATGAATAAGGAAGAAAAGATAAAACTATGGTTTTGACATTGGAAAATATTTCAAGAAAAATCTGTTTCATACTTTTAATTAACAATGCTAGATAACTGAGCAACAGATGATAGAAATAGAGAAGGGAAAAGCAAGGAATCTTTCAGCTTCCAGGATGTCTTACAGGAGGATCTTACCTTTTGTCAGATAATGAAAGATAAACAAGCCGTCCAAACATACAGATAGCGGGAGATTTGTCATTCCATTTTTCTTGACAGAGAATCAAAATTATTATGAAAAATTGAAATTTTACTATTGAATGCTTAAGGTTTGGAAAAATGGCATTTAAATGGGTAAAGCATTGTGACTGGGAAATAGGTTGAGGTTAATTATAATTATATGGTTATACTGGAGAACAATATACACATCTTTAGTTGTACTTTGAAATATTTTATTAAACTATCTCACTCTAATTGCCATTTAGACAGGTAAAATAAAATAGTGTCTAGCTCTAAGTTATCTGAAGTGTGATTCCATCGTGTCAATCAGTAATACTCTCTTAGTGATCTACCAAGAGAAGAGAATGTTAAAGACTATTATTTGATGTTATTTGCTGTCCATAAGGACTTGCAAGCGGTGGAAGAGACAGATGAGGTTATTTCTTTTGAAGGGCCATGCAGCCTACAGCTTCCAGCACCGAGAAGCCTGGAGAGTTCAGTTCAGCTTGGTACCATCTTTTTGCAACTATCTCTTTCTTCCGTGACTTAACAATAGCACATCTTCAGCACGATGCATGCAGAAGACTAGCAATCCCGGCTTCTGTCTTCTTGATAAAGGCTCTTTCCTGGGAGGATAGGAATTGAGGGTGTCTTTACACATTCTCCAGGGGGTGGGGTGGAAGGCATTTTAATTAGAGTGGCTTTTTGTATCTGCTCTAATTAAAGCACCTATAGCATCTCATGAATTCAGCATCCCACACTTCAAAATGGCAGCAGGGACACTAACTGAAGCTCATTCAGTGAACTTTAGTTAAAGCATCCCATTACCATTTTGAAGCATGGGGATGCTGAATGCATATGACGCTGGAGCTGCTGGAGCATGTTAATATCATGCTCCAGGAGACTTGATTAATTGAGCCTACTCTGACATGTTCTAATTAGAGCGTGTTGGAGCGGGCATTGGGCAGGTGTACAGTATAGGTGCCCTTAGATATGAATGCTTTTAGGTTGAGGAGAAAAAAGAACCTGATTCTTTCACTTTCTAGATCAGGACTGCTCAACTTTGGCACAGCAGGGGGCTGTAATAGGTGCCTGTTTGCAGTCCAGAGCTGCACACCACACAGCAGTCTGTGTGGACCTCCAACCAACAATGGCAAGCAACCCCCTCCCCCCATCCATCCCCCACCACACAAGAGGAGAACTGTAAAAAAAAATAATTCAAAGTCCTATTTTGAATAACTTCATGGTGTAAAAACTTCCTTTATTCTAAGCAAACATATAGGCCTTAGCTCTTTGGGTACATGCAAACATTACACTTAGATCAACCTAACTAGGGTTAGGTCAATCTAAGTGCTGAACTGTATAGACCTTCAGAGAGGTTAGATCTGGCACCTGTGGAGGAGCTACACTCCTCTAATCCGTACTAAGCTATTTTTAACCCCTGTCTCCCCCCATCCAAGATGAACAACATTCCTCACAGAACCACCAAGCCCCTCCCAACCCCCACAACTTCCCCCTGAAGACCTGCTAGCCCAACCCCTAATCCTTCCTGACCTTCCCACAAAGTAAGTTATAGACTTACAACACCTGGGTATATTTAAGTTGAATTAATAGATAATTCACATTGTAAAAGAGTCTTTCTAAACTTCATTGTTATGGCAACATAGTGTGTCAATGCTAAAATAAGCCCTTTCATCTGAACAGTAGAGTACATTTATTAAAAACTTGTTAAAATATCATTTTAATATCATATATGTGTAAGCAATGTATCCAGAAATGACATTTCAGTTTATTCTACATGCAGACTCACAGGATCTAGTGTTCCTGACCTTATTGTGAGCATGAGCAACCAGATGTGGCTCCATTTACAATCTGATGACAGCATTGGCTCACCTGGATTCAAAGCTATTTATCAAGGTATGATATAGTGCTTTTAACTTCATAATCAAGAATTCCTGGATATACACAAAGCATATACATTAGATATGTTTTTGGCTCATGCACTAATCAAACAGATATAACAATGGACTTCCTTCTTCATGTCTTTCTGACAAGGTATTTAGTTGAACTTGAAGATTAGTTGGAATCTAACAGGGCCACACTGTGAATGCCTTTCCTATGACCTTGAGCTTGCAATTTTGGGGCTATCAGCCATGCACCTTAGCACCCACACCACCTATTAGTACAACTGTGGATGTCAGTTCAGAGTGGTTGAGAAAACTATAAAAGTCAAAGCCAAATTATTTTAACTTGTTATCACTTAATCTTAATGGAAGCTATGCAAAAGTTGTATTTAATGCTTCAATATAGAACTCCTCATTTAAATTTAGATGCATACAATTTAGATTAAAGTTTTGGGTCATCAGCAAGAAGTTTGGAACAATACAATGTCCACATTTATTTTCATACTCTGTAGAAACTATTTACAGTTATAAAACATGATCTTTGTAATATGAGCCATAGAATGAATCTATTTACATTTTGTCTCTGGCTATAAAATAGGATCAGAAATTTTACAAAAAATGTGCCTTAAAATAAAGTGATAGAAAATGTTAGAGTTTCTTCTTGCTAAATTTATTCTGCTATTTACTCAATCAGATAAAGCCTTCAAAGATGTTAATCTGAATATGCACATTACTGTTGGGGATTTGATATGTCCATTGGTCTGATATACTGGCTAGTAAATATATCCAGACATTAGTATACAAAATATGCTATGGCAAATTGACCTTCTTTTTGATAAATTTCAGTATAGTCAACTCCATAACCTATAGCTTTCCTGTTTTTACTAATAATATTTTCATTGTGTTAATAGTATTCAGACTCTGGGGGCATGTCCACTCGTGTAAGCATGTGCAGCAGCTCAAATAGAAGTGGTGCAAGGTGCAAATTTGAGCCAGGGTTTTTTGCCTTAGGGCACTTGCCCGGACATGCACTTTGGTGTGAGGCAAATTGTGCCACTTGGTGAAAAATAACTGTGCCTAGCTCCTCTTGGATCTGCAGCCACGGGTAGCTACAGCAACTGTGCTGGCCCCAGCAATATAAAAACCTTCCCTAGAAAGCAGCTCAGACTACTTGCTCTCAGGAGCTTCTGGAGCCTGGCCAATTGGTATCAGGGGACACTAACCTTTGTGCCAGGTGGACTGCTCCAGCAGCATTCCCAATCCATTTTTTTAAACACCCCCAAATCCATGTTCATTCCAATTAGAACAAAAGACTCCTCTACATGTATATATATATATATATATATATATATACACACACACACACACACACACATATACATATATATATCTAGGGGGAGAGAGAGAGAAAGAGAGAGGGAGGGGAATGCAGTTGGGCAATGCTTTATTAATATATTTACTATGTTAAAGCAATTTGGAAGCCTACCAGTGTCTCTATCTTAATGATAAAATACATTCTAAATATCTATGTGTTGATGTGTGCTTTTGGTTTTCTTCTCACATGATGGGTGTGTGATGCAGGGATGTGGGGTTTGCAGGAAGGAGGTGAGAAGGGGTATGGTTGGCCTTTCTGCGGCACTACTGCCATGTGTACCCCCTGCCTGGCCATCTGGGCAGCTATCACCTGGAAGATGTTTCCAGTGTGGTGGTCTGTTTTGAACTGTCAAGGCATGTCCTCCTGGTCCCAATTGGCCAGGAG